TTAATTTTACTTACTGAGCTTTTTATTTCTAAAATTTCAATCTGGTACTTTTTCAGAATCCCTAATTCTTTATTTAATTGATGTTTCATATTCTATATTGATTTCCTTAATTCACTCATATATTTATTTTATCCTTGTTGAATTAATAATTTTATTGCCATTTTCTTAAAGATTAAAGACAACACAAGTAGAAAGACCTTCAATGCTCACAGATAGGCAGAAATAATATTGACTAAAATGCCCATACTACCAAAAGTAACATAGAGATTCAATGCAATCCCCATTAAAATACCAATGACAATCTTCATAAAACTAGGAAAAAAAAATTGTCAATTATTTGGAAGAATAAAAGAACTAGAATAGTCCAGGCAATTCTAAGCCAAAAAAGCAGTGCTGGAGACACCATAATACCTGAATTCAAATTATAATATATAGCTTATAATAAAAACTACATGATGTTAGCACAAAAACAGATACAAATCAACTGTACAGAATAGAAGACACAGAGACAAATCTACAAAGATACAGTCATCTGACCATCATAGTTCGGATAGGTATGATGTAGACAGCAAAAAATATGAGGTACATCCCCTGTGGTTACTCCTCCAGTCTTGTCATCAATGTGCAGGAAGAAACCTAGGCTGAGGTCCCATGTAGGTGAAGTGTCCAACTTTTGTGTGCTCACTGCTGTTGCTACAAAGGTGAATGACAAGAAACAGGTCCTCAGCCCCCACCCCACACCTAGCCCTGCCTACTTGGTGCAGGTAATCAACTGGAGATTTTATATTCTTTATTCTTTAAGTTGAATTATCTACCAAGGTTCCAACAGGGTTGGGTCATAGGTGAAGTAAGGTAATATTTTTCTCAGCTGGGTTGGGAGGGTAGTTCAGTGGCACACCATCTACCCAACATGCTCAAAGTGTTGGGCTCAATTCCCAGCCCCACACACACAAAAAAAAGAAAAGCAAGTAATAACAACAAATGAAAACAAATCAGATAAAGAAACAAGGTAAAAACTAAGTAAAAATAGTAACAATAATAATACCAAAACCAACAACAAAGAAGAGAACAAATCACACACAACTATTCTATTCTGGCAGGCTGTAATATTGGATTTCCCGAAATCAGTTCTTAAAAGAAAGTACCTCTACTTCCCTCCAGATAGCAGACCTTGTTTCTCACCAAAGAGAACTCTCAGCAGTTTTATGCCAAAGTCACTTCCTTGAGTCCAAACCATCTCTCAGCGCAGCAGGTTCACTGAGTCTTGAAGATAGAAAAATGAAGAGGCTTCTGACAACCAGAGCAATAAACTCAGATAACAGAACCCTTCCTAAAATTGCTCCCAGTTAGAAACTGTATGAATACTTTTGGAAGTGCAGAGAACTTCTTCCCTAGAACCAGCTGGCTGGTCTCTTATTTGCTTAGACTGTATGTTTGCAAGATTCTGAGTGCTCTGCTTGTGGAGTTCTCTAAGACCCTCTCTCTTCTACTTATTCTGGAGGATACTTCCTTCCTCCTGCTGAGCCCCAAGCACTGGGTACAGTGCTCAAAGGTGAAAAAGAAACTTGGTGCTGGGGAGCTCTGATTTTTTTTTTTTTTTTTTTTTTTGCTATTCTAATATACCCAGTATTTCTGAGTTTCACCTGGTCACTTACTCTAGCGTGGCACTCCAGCGCTTTCCTATGACACCCACCTCAACTATACCTACACACCTGTTGTTCTAGTTTAATCTGGTGAAGAAGCAGGTGAGTGCTGGTGCCTCTAATCTGTCATCTTCCAATCTTCAAAAAGAGCTTTCTAAAAACTGAATCCCATAGCCTCACATACTTTATAATTCAAGTAACTATTTCATTCAATTTACCCACACTACTAGATTTGATCATCTTTCTTCATGTATTCTTCATATTCAAGTTTTTTTTATTTTTTAAATCAATGCAAATCCTCATATAAAACACATAAATGCAATAGGGTACCTGTGCAGGAGCCCACAAGATACCTGATATGGTTTGAAAATAAATTAGAGGACGTCTTGCCCAGGCAAATCTTCTCTCTTTTAGAAAGTTTTGAGAAGTATTTCTTAGTTAAGTAAATGTAGACGAACTTGAAGCAGTAGGGTGGGTACAGTGCTCAAAGGTGAAAAGGAAACTTGTTATTCCAGCAAGGTTTAATGATTCAAGGAAACTGGAGGTAAGAAAACCTGTTGCTTGTAATCAAATGTGTTTATTTACATACAGAATCTAGGCAAGTTACCAAAGGTCCAACTCTGTTCACAGGATCCCAAACTAGAAAAACTTTCTCAGGGTCAACCAGAGTCCATAGTTACTTGGAAGGGATTTTTACTCTAAATGGATACTTAAGTCTGAGAAGGAACTGCAAAGCAGTTTTTTAGGCGGGGGAAGTGTTGCTTTGACCACAGAGACAGCTGATGCTGGACACATTGACCAGGTCTAAAATCTGGCATCAGTGTTTAGAAAATTTAGCACTAAGCATTAATATGTACCAAGAGAATTTTGTAAACCAACTGCCATCTGTCTCTGATGGTATCTGGAAATTATGGTGTTTGTAAATATGACCAGGCTGGCTGGAGTGCTTAAACCACTGGATAGGTCCTTAAAAAGAATGTTGTAATCTTCCTGACAGGGTAACTGTTTACTGGACAAATTAATTCAGCAAATAAGAGGACATGACTATCTATCTATCTCTAGTTTAGGAAGTAACTTAATGCAGCCATGCAAATTTGAAAACATCCTGTTTTCAAACTTAACAAATTATGTTTCTTACATGTGAGTTCACTCTTTGCTTCCCAGGTTTTGAGAAAGGGACAAACTCAAATGCCATCAAGTATGAGGCTGTTGAAATAATTGCATCATATAATAAGGAGGGATTGTGACTGAGAATGACTGGAGAATTTCTCCCTCTTCCAAGGAATCCAAATGCAACAATAAATTAAAATCTGAGCTGAACACACACACACACACACACTCTCTGTCTCTCTCTTTCTCTCTCTCTCTCTCTCTCTCTCTCTCTCTCTC